TATGAATTGCTATAGTTTTTTCCCAATATTATTTTTTTCTATCTTGTTATATTGTTTTTAAAATTATCTTTGTTAATTTTATTTTTTATTGTTCTTCCACACTAAAATCACTATGGATTACAACAGTGCTCTCCTTTTTTTCCCCAAGCTTTCCCTTTTTTTCTCTCTTTTTTTCCAAAATCACTTTTTTTTTCAACTTTCTTTTGTTTTCATTTATTTTTTTAAATTATTTTTGTTTTCATTTATTTTTTAAATATTGAGCTGGTTAAAAATTTCACTTGTAATTTTTTCTTGAAAATACTGTGGATTTTTGCAATTTTTTCTTACATAGTTTTTTTTTATTTTACAAAATTCTATTTGTCAATTTTTTTTAATATTTTAGTTTTGTAAAGTTTTTTCTTAAAAACATTGTTGATTGCTACAATGTTTTTCCACATGGTTTTTTGATGATTTTTCTCCAAGATTATCTTTTTATTATTATTTTTTAATATTAAATTGGTTCAAAATTGCAGTTGCAATATGTGACGAAAACACTTTGACTCCCCCCGCAAATTACTGTGGATTGATACAGTGTTTTGTCGCATATGATTTTTGTCTGTTTTGTTATGTTTTTTCCTAAAATTTTCTTTGTCAATTTTATTTTTTAAATATTAAGCTTGTTAAAAATTGCAATTACAAGTAAATACAAGTTTCTCCTCACAAAATAAGATAGATTGATACGGTTTTTCCTCATATGATTTTTTTTTCAGTTTCTTTCATGTTTTTATTTTTTGTAATATTTTTTTTCAAAATTATCTTCGTTGACTTTATTTTTTTCAAATATTGAGTTGGTTATAATTTAAATTTGCAATAAAACTTAATCATATGTAAAACATTGTGGATTGCTACAATGTCTCTCCACATGGTTTTTTTTTTATAATTTTATTAAAATTATTTTTATCAATTTTATTTTTTTAATATTGAGCCATTTGAAAATTACAATCACAAGTCATTATAAATAAGGCTAAATCAAACCATCTAGGTGGTGGCCAAGTGGTAAAGACTTGGGATCAAGGGGTTTGCTCCCTCTGTGGTCTCAGGTTCGAGTTCTTGGTTGCTCATATGATGGCCACTGGAGGCTTACATGGTCGTTAACTTCAGGGCCCGTGGGATTAGTCGTGGTGCGCGCAAGCTGGCCCGGACACCCACGTTAATCTAAAAAAAAAATAAGGCTAAATCATGTGGGAAAAAACTGTAGCTTTTATCACAAAACACTGTGAATTGCTACAGTGTTTCAATATGATTTTTTTTCTTTTTTCATGTTTTTTATTTTTTTCTAGAATTATCCCTGTTGTTTTTTTTAAAATATTGAGCTGATTAAGAATTTAACTTTATAATGTTTTTTAACTTTAAAAAACATTGTGAATTGTTGCATTGTTTTTTCATATGTTTTTTTTATGATTTTTTCCAAAATTATCTTTGTCTATTTTTTTTTAATATTGAGTTGGTTAAGAATTGTAATTACAATAAAGCTAGATCATATGAGAAAAGCATAGTAATTTTTATCACAACATATTGTGGATTGCTACACTATTTTGCTAAATAGTTTTTTATTTTATTTTATTGGGGAAATCACTGTAGTTTTCCTTGTAAAACATTGCCAATTACTAAAATGTTTTTTTCTCGTAGGTTTTTTTCTTTCCAAAATTATCTTTCTTGTTTTTTTTTAATATTAAGTTGATAGATAATTTAGCTTTGTAATTTTTTTTTGCTTTTTATTAACATAAAAACTAATTCATGTGGTTAAAATACTATATCTTTTTTCACAAAATACTGTGAATTGCTACAAATTATTTTGTTCGGTCTCTAAATTTTTTATCACCAACGCAACTTTTTTTTCTATCATAAAATATATGTTTCATTATACCTTTAGTTTCTATTACTTATTTAGTGCTGGTTCACAATTATAACATTATTAAATGCATTTGTTTTATAAATTCATGGCAGCGCGCGGACATATCATATCATTTTTGCTATAACATATTTTGGTAACCTCCAATGACTTAAAAATTAAGACCCAAGTTTTTTGGATTCTTAAAATCCAAATTTCAATTTATTTTTATTTAAAAATATCATAAAAATCTCAATAATTTTATTTTCAACTTCAAATACCCTTTAATCAATCTAAAAATAAAAAAGCATACTAAATAAAAATAAAAAATTTACAAATCCTAGTCTATTTTATCCAACATCCAGCATGATTATAAAGCAAAATCACATCCATTAAAATCTCATTTGCAAGATGAACCTTTTAATATTGAGATCAGTCTTTTTATATATGGCCAACAAATTTTTTTTCCCTCCCATTTCAAAAGATTTTCTCTCTCCTCTTTTAATATTTAAAAACTAAACACACGAAAAAAATTAAGTTCTGGTATTGAAATATAAACACTTAAAACTACAAGTACCACACATGTAAAAAAATAGAAAAAATAGGAATCAAATTGAAGTTTTTTGAAAACTATAGGGACCAAATTAAACATTTAAAGATTGCATTGTCCCCCTTTGTGCAATCCACATTATCTTGTGTCGTAATGAATGGTACATGCTATAATGAAAATGCCTATCTGTTTTAGTTTATAATACTAGTTATAATAAATTCAAAAATAAAAGAATTGATAAATAGTAAAAAGAGTTATGAATGTAAATATAAAATAAAAGGTTAATTTTCTTAGTTACTGTGAATGTAAATCAAAGACTAAAATAAAAGGTTAATTTTCTTAGTTACTAGCAAGAGATAGATTTGCAAATATTTTACAGGCACGGGCTTTGTATAGCTATGGTAGTTAATGGTAACATATGCGCAGTAATTATGAAATAGAGAAAAGAGAAATGACAGTGGGATTATTTTCGAAGCTAATTTTTCATTTAATTTTTCTACAATTGAAAAGAGTTAGAATGTTTTAAATTTTGAAGGAAAAAAAAATCAAAATCATCGTTTCTTATTTACACATTTATTTTTATTTTTTGAGAAAACATGTATTTTTTATTAACAATATGTTTTTTTCAACTCAAACTCAAGGTCATTAAAATATATATTCACATGAATTCCAGTAATTTAAATTCATGACAAAAAAATGTATTCATTTATTTTTTATTTTCACAAGAACATGTCTTTTTTATTTGAAGTATGTTTTTTAAAAATAATTATTCAAAAAACGATACAGAAGCAAGTTTCAAGGAAAAAAATATAAAAAAATGAATGTCTTGATAATTTTCATGCGTCTCCTTGTAAAAATAAATAAAAGAGTAATTGATTCATAAATACTATATAAAAATTTACAGTAATAAAACATATATTTAATTCTCAATGAAATATTCACGTGCCATTTTTTGTAATTGAATAGATTAATATATAATTATTCACAAGCCAGTTGCAAATATTACCATAAAAAACTCTAATATTATTTAAATAAAATGACATAATGGTTGATTTTTTAAATATAACTGTGCTCATTTTTCTAAATAGAATTTAATTTTAAAAATATATTAAAAAATCAAGGGCAAAATAAATGAAACGAACCCATTAATATCATTATTAATTTTTTTTTTTATGGCTATAATGCGTAAAGGTTGAATCTTTCTATCTCTTTTTTTTTTTCCAACAACTTTTTATGTCTCCTCAATATCAAGTGATTGAGATGTGAAAAGGATAAAGTTTTAGTATCAAAACATAAATACCTAAAAGTACAAGGATTAGAGATATAAAATAAAACACTACAAGGACCAAATTGAACTACTGTGATAACGTTAAGGACCAAATAAAAAAATTAAAGAATGTAGTTATAATATTTTATACATTGGTCCCATTTAGTTTGTAGTCTAATAATATAATAATCTTACATTTTGTGCAATTCACATGCAAAAAGAGGCATTGAACTTGAAATACTTGACCAAATGAATATCCATACAACTAAGATGAGTGGGTTTGGTTCAATTGTTCATATGAACAATTAACCATTTTAATACATTATTTAGTCGTTTGGGAGCATGCTTCGTCACTTAGTGGTCAATAATTAACCATGTTAATATATTAATTTAGTCATTTGGTTACAAGCTTACTGTTGTAGCTTTGTAGTTAACGACTGACATGACTTTTGAGGCACGTAGTTTGAATCCCGGCGGAGGCTAATAAATCATTTTAGGCTACAATTTCTTCTTTTTTTTCACATTTATTAGAACACAAAATGCCCTTGAATAACTTGACTTTTAACAAAAAAAAATCACGATGAACAAAAAATAAATAAATTTGTAAGATAATTTTATTAATCTTGAATCAGAGTAATTAAGGGATTTAACTTTGATAAAAAATGAAAAAAAGGCATAAAAGTTTTGGATCAAGCCATTTATTTTTTTATCTCCAAAGTGTTTTATAAATTTAACTTTTTAAAAAATTGAAAAAGCTAATCAACCATTCAGCAATTTATAAATAACATTAAATAATGATAAAATAATAATTTTACCTCTAAATTCTTGCTTAAAGGTCTTTGGATAGCGATAAGTTCATTTTAATATTATTCTAATATGGTGTTATGAGTTTCAAAGGATGTTTAAAATCGTTGTAACTATTGTTTTTTTAAGTTTTTTATTTAAAAATATATTAAAATATTTTTTAAAAAATATTTTTATATTAATATATCAAAACATTTAAAAATATTAAAGAAATTAATTTAAAATAAATAATTTTTTAAAAATATTTTCAAAATATAAAAACAAACTCCAGGAGAGTTTTAGTAATAGATCTTCCCACTCCCTTAGTTTTTGTTTTTATTAATTTAATTTAATTTAATGAGTCACTCCATAATCAAACGTGGAATGTGGAATGTAGACTGAAAGAAGAGGTAAGCTTGTTTAATGGGTGCCAATTCCATCCTAAACCGACTTGACTTAGATGACTCATACCCATGCCCCACAAAAGACTTGCAAGTTACGACAATGTCCTCCCTCCCTCCGTCTTCATGTAATACCCCACTACTCTTTTCACATCCACAGAGCAAGCAAGAATTGGATTTTCAAGGTTGTCATGTCTTCGTATCTAATTAAATACTATTATTTAACAATGACATGGGGTCCCTTTTGCTTTTTTTGGGGCAAGCTGACTTCCACACCAAGGTGCCGTGTGTAGACTATAGACTGCAGACTTTCACTAGTTTCTTGAGGCCTTTTGATCTAAATAATTAGTTTATTAAGGTCTTTTGGGGACATTGACTGAAGGGTCTCTTCTCAAATTACTCGTTTGGGAACTGAGGTTAAGCAATCCCGTTTAGGAAGATTTGAAGGTGAGGTTTGCCTGCTTCTCCAGGATTTTGCACCTTTATCTTGCTGCCAATTTGGATGGTCCTGCTGTTTTGCTACAGGTAGAGAGATTGTGTGTGTCAATTGATTGTATCAGTATCAATATTAATTTTGATTTCTTGATTTCAGTCTCACTTGATTTTGAATTTATTGAATTGGAACTGGGAGAATGAGAACAGTAAACATCTCGACAGAAATTATCAAAAGAAAGCAGACAGTATTGAGCCAGTAGTTATTGACTTGTTCATGCCTTTTAATTTCGTATAGGTTATTCTTGTTTTCTATTTTGCTTATGCTGCATGAACTTGGGAAATCTTGTTGGCTATCAATTTCCTGAATCCGGCAAAAAGTGAACCACAAGCACTGTCTCTCTGTCCCGTCCTTTTTCTTTCTCCTTCTTCTTTCTTCGTTTTTTATTAACTTTTTTTGGCACGAATCAATCTTGCGGGTGCTTCTGGCTGGTTTTCAAATTTAACCTCACAAAAATATGCAAAGAGAGAATTTTGAGTTCCAACTATTGCTAATGATCTGATCCACTGTATCCTGAGAATGAACATCATATTTTGTGCAGCTTTTGTTTTTATACTTTCCTTTTGCATTCTATTTTGTTGACAAATTTCTAATGAACACTGTTGTTGTTGAGTTTTTAGGTTGCTGCATCTTATCAAGGCTTTCTTTCTTTTGCTCCTGAATTCGTGACAACCAGATTTATCCACGCGCATTCGTTGTGGGCAATGAAGTGCTTTTCATTCTACAGTGGAGACAAGACGGATGAACCAAAAACTCCAAAGTCAGTCTCTGTTCAATCTGTGAATTTTCCAGGTGCTGATCGTGAAATAGGAAGATCTGGTTCTGAATTGAATTCTCAAAATGTCCCTGGTACCAGCACAGAGTCCATGGTTAGGCCCTCACTTCCTAGCATGTCTCAAAGGCCCAGCAATCTCAGAGTGTTCACAGTTTCTGAGCTTAAGTCAGCTACCAAGAATTTTAGCCGTTCTGTCATGATTGGAGAAGGTGGATTCGGTTGTGTTTATAAAGGATCTATTAAGAGCACCGAGGATCCAACTACAAAGCTTGAAATTGCTGTGAAACAGCTGGGTAAAAGAGGGATGCAGGCAAGTCTTATTCCTCATGTCAACACTAGTTTTTAATGTCATTGATTGAATTGTGGAAGATATTTATTTTGCTATACTTTCAAAGGTATCTCCATTGCTAGAACAAAAATCTATTTCAAGATTTGCCCACAGTTTTCAGAAAGATGCTTTGTTGAGCTGATGACAGTCTTGCATTTATACTTGTGTTTTAAGAAGTCTTAATCTTAGCTCACACCATTTGGCTGGCAGGGGCACAAAGAATGGATCACCGAAGTAAATGTTCTTGGAGTAGTCGAGCATCCAAACCTTGTCAAATTAGTTGGTTACTGTGCGGATGAAGATGAAAGAGGAATGCAGCGGCTTCTAATATATGAATTTATGCCTAAGGGAAGTGTTGAGGACCATTTATCCATCCGATCAGATAAACCTCTTCCATGGGCCATGAGACTGAGGATAGCCCAAGATGCTGCTCGTGGCTTAAAGTATCTACATGAAGAAATGGATTTTCAGGTATGGTGCTTCAAATTTCCCTTTCAGTGCACCTAAGATTTGGCAGCCCCCTGTGGAAATGCTTCATTTTTCTCAAGGTTGCATTTCATTCCCCATCTCCCCAAACATTGTTCTTGTAGCTTGCTTTTTTTTCTAAAATTCTGTAGTTTTTTATTCCCTGTAAAAGAAAAAAAAAGAGAGCCTAAACGTGGTTGCGGGTGAGGGATTTCTGCATAAAGTCAATTGTGAACAATTAATTAAAGTTTGTGGTAATCTGTTATATGTGGTTAAGCTATCAAGCCTAATTAATAATGCTGACTGTTTTTTTTTTTTTAATTGACTGTCATAGATCATCTTCAGGGATTTCAAATCATCAAACATTCTTTTAGATGAGCAGTGGAATGCCAAGCTATCAGATTTTGGGTTGGCAAGGCTAGGACCTTCTGAAGGATTGACTCATGTTTCAACTGCGGTATGTTCAGGCAATGTGATCTAATTAATACTTGATATCCATTTCACCAATTGGTGCTTACTTTTAGCATGCTAGAAATGAACCTTTATTCAATATCTGGATGGGATTTACTCTTTGAAATCTCCTAAAATTTCATCACTACTGAGCTAATTACCGGAATAGAATCTTGAATTATGTTGCATATATATTCTGCATATTTCTTGTGTGGTCAATTATCTTCTCTGGGTCTGCTTTTGATCACCCAACTATCCCTTTGAAAGCTGCATCAATATGACAGTTGAAAATCATACAGTTTTCCTTATCTCCTGTGGGATTTCGGGTTTATTTAGTTTTATTGATCTCAACACAATATGCGGATAACTGGAATAAAGTGATTGCATGGATTTGAGTACTTTGCATTCTAGGCATTATGCAGTTTAAAAGGCTCATATAGATGGAAATCGGCTTACTATCAAGCTCCAGGACCCAAACCTAGCCTTATTTTACTGCTTTCAGTGTACTTGATAAGCTCATCTAACAGAATAAAATATATTAAACCTGGCTATTCCAAAGATAATGGAACAGCTATTTGGAAATTGTTCATTTAAATGCTTGCTTGTTTAATAGTGCGCATCAGAGCTGCTTAAGCGTGTTTCTTCTTTTTATTCTTTCTTGTGATTAGGATGCTTTTAGTTCTGAGTACTAGCGTGTCTTAGGGAGTCTGGGTTTTGCCGCAAAGGAATATGCACAATAGAGGTTGAGAAGTATGAAATGCATAAACCTTTTCCACATACATGATAGAAGAAACGGGCTCATTTTAAATAACTCAGAAACCGAATAGAATTTTTAATTTATGCTTTTCATTCTTTTTTTTTCCCTTTCAGAATTCAGTTTAGACTTTATGCTTTGGCCATAGGTTGGTGCACTAACACTATGTTAACATTTTTTTTATAATTAAAACTGTTCATTCTCGTGCAATAATTGCAATTGGTTATTTCCATCAGGTTGTAGGAACCATGGGATATGCAGCTCCTGAATACGTCCAAACAGGACGTCTCACATCCAAAAGTGATGTCTGGAGCTATGGGGTCTTCCTTTATGAACTCATTACAGGAAGGCGCCCTTTGGATCGAAACCGACCCAAGAGTGAGCAGAAGCTCTTGGAATGGATAAGACCATACCTATCAGACGCCAAGAAATTCAAGCAAATAGTTGATCCCAGGCTTGAGCAGAAAGACACCCTCAAGTCAGCCCACAAGCTTGCAAATATAGCCAACCGATGCTTAGTTAGAAACCCAAAATTACGTCCCAAGATGAGTGAGGTGTTGGAAAAGATAAATCAGATTGTAGATGCATCTACAGGGACCGAAAGTGCCCAGCAGTCCTACAAGAATTCAGCACCAATAAAAACTTCACACGGCACCACAGCAAAAAATAAAAGGAGAAATGTAGATATCAAAACTGGAGAAAGCGGCTGGTTTGGTTGGATGTGGAATCCAAAGCATGTTAGAACATGCTAATTGCAGTAAACTCGAGCAGATTTATTGTCTGGTAGGTTTTGTGGCTGGTGGAGTATAAATAGGAAAAACTTGCTGAAGCTGGAAGGATTCCAACATTTATTGGCTGATCAACAAAGCTGGTTGAAAAAATTTTATACACACAATAACTTGTAGAAATCACTGAAGGGAAGGGAAGGTATAAGAGCAGCTCTAGATTCCTGATTCTGAATAAGTGCATCGCTGGTCCAGAATTTAGCACCGCGACTTGTAAACACTCTTTGGCGGGTTTTGCATGCTTCAATGTATGTCTTGAGTAGAATATGTTGGCCTAATTTTAACACTTTACAGGAGAGTTACTAATGAGGATCAGATCATTCCTTATAACATTTTTTAGATTGGAAAGTTTGAAGATCGATTCCTCCAACTGCATTGCTTATGTAAAATTGTCGTTACCTCGTTTGTTATTGTCTTTGTTATTTACTAATTGAAATTAGGCCCTATTCTAGGCTTCAAGGCCCTGGTGTGCTTGAACTAAGGTTTTTTTTTTTTTTCATCATCTCTGTTTCTAGCAGGTAAGGTAGAGGGGTGGCAATTTCATCCGATTAGCTATTTAATCTGTGTTTTACTGTGAATCGGAATAGATGAATATACAGTTTTTGGTTTTTTCATTGGTTTTTAACAAAAAAAAAAATCCTAATTATATATTAAAAAATTTATACAAACATCTAATTAAATAAATTAAAAATTATTTATACTAATAAATATATAAGAAAAATATTAACATGACTATTTAACTCGCTTAGTTATACGTTAAATGATTTTCTTTTCAATGTAAAAAAATAAAAGTGTTGTGTTTTTTGACATAAAAAAACAAATAGAGAAAGGATATATTAGTTTAAATATAAATTAAAAATATTTTAAAAAATATATATAAATAATTATCAATTAAAAAAAAGTTAAAATTTTGCTGGATTTAACAAGGTAAACCAGTCTAGGTGGACTCTTGTGTTTTTATTTGAAAATGGGATAGACTACATTATTTTTTGGAAAAATAAGAGGAGTCACGTGACATGTCACTTGTATTTTCCTAGATTTTAACCACAATGATAGCTTAAAAAAATAAATATTTTGTTTATTTAATTGAGAAATTATAGTTTTAAAACTTGGTATGGCTTGATAGGTTGACCCAATGCTGAAACGAAGTCGGGTTGAAGATAAAATAGAAAAAGAAAAAATCTGGTATGACCCAACTGATCTGATAAAAACCTGATTTCAATCTGTTAACTTTTTTTTTATTAAAACGACATTGTTTTGATTTTAAAAAATTGACCTAGGTGATCTGGTGATCCAGTCAAAACCTGGAATTCAGGCCTTGAACTGGATGAGGTAAAAAAACTATGTAAGAAACTCATTTTGATATAAAATGCTTATAAAATATCCTATACACCTTGATAAACTTAAACATGGCCTTAAATAACTCAAACACCAATCTATAAAACCCAAAATTAACTCAAAATAAAAAAACTTTCCAAGTTTAAATGTTTAAATCTACTATTTTAGGTGGTGTAAAGGCCAAGTAAGACTTCCCTAATTGAAAACCCATTAATACCAAGATTGAATTTTTTTTGTGGTTTAAATCGGTGTTAACTAATATTTTCTTTTTTTATTATCGAACTCCGATGACTTTTTTCTCTCATTTCTCAAATTAGAAACTAAAAAATATTAAAAATAAAATATTAAATCAAAATTAAAATTTCAAAAATCAAAAGAACAAAAAAAAATGGAAAGTATAAGGATCAAACCGAACATTTTTTTTGTAAATTTTGGGGTTGTTACCTTTTTTTTCCACTTTTTTTACTTTGATTTTTTATTTTTGTTTTTATTTAACAATTTAACTTAAATTGACTTTTAATTTAGTACTAAAAGATAAAAGTTAAAAAAAAAATAAAGATAGAAATAAAAATAAAAATACAAGTCCATAATACAATAGGTGTGTGCCCCGGCACAATAGCAATTTACTACAGGAAAAATTCCCCAAATTTTAGAGTTTTGTTAATAATACCACATTTACCTAATTGAAATTCTATCCAGTTTAATCAATAAAGTACCTAGGACATGAGAAGGGATGAAGAGTTTAACAATTCTACCTAATACTTTTACAAACAAATTAAATATACAAAATTGGTATATAATAATCCAAACTTTGCATCCAAGTTTGGATTATTATTTTTATTAATTTGTTTTTTAAAGAATAAAGAAAATCATTTTTAATGTTCTTTTAAAACATAACATCATCATCATTTTTAATTTTCTTTTAAAACATAACATCATCATCATTATTATTTTTATTAATTTGTTTTCTAGGATTTGAGATGTTAACGATCAAATTACTTGCGAATGAAGGAAAAGTTTAACTTACCAAGCTAAAGAAGTGATATTCATTTGATCCTTTTAGGACTTCTGGGATTAGTAGTTATTAGGTATAGAACTAAATCGCTGTTATAGAGCACTTTTTGAAATTTATTTTTATTTAATTATATATATATATATATATATATATATATATATATATATAAGAGAGATAATGAATAAGATTATGGTGAAAAAATGCATTTCCTATTCAAAATTGTCGTTTCTTATTCATGTGATCTCTTTTATTTTTATAATTATGTTTTTTTTATAAGTAGCATGATTTATTAAATAAAAAATCCTAATTAATAATACTCATAAAATTTTTGATTACTTGAATTAAAGAGAAAAAATATAATTTTTTAATAAAAAAACTCAATTTTACTTTTCATGTATTTCCTTTTTTGTTTTGACAAAAACATGTTTTTTTTCTTTCATAATTATTATTTTTTAAACAAAAACTTATGATAATCATAAAAGCAGATTTTAATTTAAAAAAAAATTATGAAATGATTATTTTTACTCACAATAATAAAATATATGTTTTTTTTCATTAAATGCTAATGAGCAAGTTCTTTTAAAAAATCTACTTGTTAATCTAATATATAATTGTTCACAAAATAATTGTTAATATTACTATACAATACCCAGATCTTCTTTAAGACTGACATAAAAATAACATATTAATATATTTATTTAAAGAAAATTTTATTCTAAAATTAATAAAATAAAATAAATGTTAAGAGCTACTTAATTAAAAAAAAAAAACTAGTCACGTTTGGGCTTGAAAAGATGGGTTTACATGTTTAGCCTAAGAGAAAAAGTCATGCCCGTGTAATTTATTTTATTTTTTAAAATAAATAAACAACATGTTATTTGTGCTAATTTTTTTAATAATAAAAAAAATTATTATCCATTTAAAAAAGAAAGTGTTATTATCTTTTTGTTCAAATTCTCGCCACCTCTAGTGTTTTAAAAGTCATGGAATATGTTTTTGAACTCTAAAAAATCAAATTTTAATTTAAAAATATCTCATAAATACCCTAAAAAACTATATAAAGCCATACCAACCTAAAAAACACAATATATTAAGCCTAAAATCATAAATTAAATTGAATAAAAAAATTAATGGATCTTGATTTATTCTTTTCTAGCATATTTGAAGGGCAAAACTACCTTAACAGAACTTGTCTCTTTAAAGTGAACCAATTAACATCAAAATTTGATCTTTTGTAATGTGAACATCCAAATATTTTTATCTTTTTTATATTTTTGATGATTTTTTTATATTTTTTTAACGATTATGAACCGAAACATGATAAAAATAGAATTTTGAGACAGATGTAAAAAACAAAAAAGGACCAAATTTGATTTTTAAAAATTTTAGGGACTAAAGTGAAGTTTTGCACTCCCTTTGAACAATAAAAATGAAAACTTCTATGTTTTTCTTATTGCGTTAATCTTGGTCCATGTTGTTTTAATTTTTGGATATAATAAAAAATTTCATTTAAAAAATTAAAATTGAAATATTTGATGACATCTCGAGAGTATATTGATCAAAACAAATCTTAAAAATATAGATTTTTTTTTAAAAAAATATTAGGTATCCTGAGCCACCTTACATGCACCGGATTAAGTATCTACAATTCAGAACTAGCTTTTATATAAGATTAAACCTTGTAGTCGATGGTCCAAAAAGATTTGGTGCAAGTGGGATTCGAACTTGAGATAGTAAAGGAAGCAAACTCCAAAATCCCTAACTAAATGCTACTAGACCAACCTCTTTAGATTTAAAAATATAAAACTATACCAACAGGACATGAAATGATGAAAGTTAAAAAATAAAAAATTAAACTATTAGATGTATTGTATATTTTTTTCAAGAATCAAAATATAAAAAAATACTGTTGATTCTATTATAGGATTACACAATGCATTGGTATTATTTTTAATAATTTAATTTATCAACTATATACAGAAGCGGAGTCAAAAACTAAAATTAAGAGAGCCAAGATTTCAATTGTATTATTATTTTAACCAAAACCATATAAATTATTAAGGGAAGGGCTGAAAAAGCAATTTCCTTGTGATGGCTGAGCCCTGCTAGCCCCCTGTCTCATACTCCTAACTATATAAGAAAAAAAACTTCACTTCTAACCTAAACACAACACTTAAGATTAAAAGTGTTTATTTACTATTTAGTAGGTGATCTAGTGATAAGAATTTGGAGCTAAGAGGTTTGTTCTTATTTTAAATTTGAGTTCTATGGTTACTAATATGATTATAAACTAGATTGAATATCCTTAATTCAAAAAGAAAAGAAAAGATTAAAGTGTTTATTAGCATTGTCCATCCAAGAGTGAACAAGGATAACCTAAAAAAAAAAGCGGTTCATATTGACTGCAAGTTTTGCTTGTAACGCAGAAATTGTGTTGTAATGCATGAATGAGGTGCGATCCAAGTTTGAAGAAAGCTATTGCTCCATGACACATTTTCAACTCTTGTACCTCTTATGGCGAACAACGACTTGTGCAGCAATCTAGACATCTTAAATGAGAAGAATTTCAAACAAGGTAAGCTGTAAATGATGGTAATATAAAGTTGTTTGAGCGTTACTAAAGTACTAAGATGTCATGTTCGAAATTTTGTTTTATAAAAAGATTAAAATTTTAAAATAAAAAATATTATTTTAATATATTTTCAAATAAAAAATACTTTAAATATTAAAAATCCAACCTAAAATGCGGCTAAGAAGCGGAGGTCATTCATTGTTTAATAGTTTCTTGCCGTGTTGATGGGAGGATTTTGCGTGTTGTGTCAACGCGGAGGAAAAAGTAGGTGCGTTATGGAATCCACCGAAAAAATAGATAAATGGGACGACCAGTAGTATAGTTTAATTAACATCAAGATTTCTCGTCGTTAAAAAAATATCTGAGATCAAACATCTATGTCGATAACAAATAAAAAGGATAGAGAGAGGGAACCTTTGATTTGGGTTAAAATTATACAAACATAGAGTGAAATGTATTTTAATTTAAAAATTATTTCTAATAAGTTCTTGCATTTATTGTGTTGTTTTTGTTTTTCAAAAAAATTATTTTTAGCTTTCCAATAATTAATTAAAAAATATTATAATATCGGTGCTAGAGGAGAACTTTTCTTTAAGATTGTTTAATTTTACATTTTAAAAGTATTTTTTTTAAAATTAAATGTTTTCATGTTTTTATTCTAAATTGATATTTTTATGATGTTTTCAAATTGTTTTGAATTATTAATAAAAAAAATTATTTTAATATATTTTTGAATTAAAAATATCTTAAAAAATTACTGTTGTCAACTTTTAAATATATTATTTGTCTCCTCTCCAAGTTTTTTTTGAAGTGCTCACTCACATTTGAAGTTGTATTTGATAAAATATTTTAAATTAATTAATTTTGTTCAAATGTGTAAAACTCCCATAATTGGCTGTTGCAATCTAGTAAATTTGATAAATTTAAAAATAATTTGAATAATCATTAAAAATATAATTTAATTAAAAATAATTTAAAAATAATATCTAAGTTATAAATGATCAAATAATTTAAAAAACAAAAAAATAATTTTAGTTAATTTGGATTTACTAAATTTATAATTTAAGTTATGAAATTATAATAATTCTATAAATTGATTTAAAGGATAAAAAAACGAATTGAATTATTAAAGAATAAAATTAATTTTTTTTGTTAATTATTAATTAATAATATAGTACTAGGTAGATTAAAATAATGATACATTTGTCACGCAACCGAACAAATGACATTTATTTTGATCTGCAAATAATTCAAAGTTGGCGGGCATAGGTGAAGAAGATTAATTAGCGTGTACAGCTAGGGCGGCACACGTGCTCAAACTTATTGTATATGATAAAGTATCTGGTTATAATATACATATTAAATAACCATGCTAATAATTAATATAATTGATGACACATAAGTTAATATTATAATTGCGTATCAGATAATTTTATTGAGCGAAGCATGATCGAGCTTTGTGATAAAATTGAAGAATTAATGCACACACACTAAAAAATCCGAACTATAGACTACGACCGGCGCCTAAAGTTAGAATTTTTGGTGCGTAAATTGAATTCCGTCATGCGTGGGTCATAAATACTAAATTATTGGCTAGGAAAGCTCACAAAATTCACCATTACGGTCATTACCCGTTCAATAAGATCATAGCATTAGCATATAAATCGCCCCAATTATACCACAAGTACGAAACCACAAGCACGTTTGTTTTTATAAAAATTAATTTTTTTAAATTATTATCAATATTCTTAGATGATTTAAAATATTAATATTAAAAATAATTTTTATAAAAAATATTATTTAAACATATTTTAAAAAACTCTTTAAAAAATAATAACCTCATAGATATAGGTTACTCAAAATAAAAAGATATCACCTCCCACTAATTCAGTCCAAATTTAGAAATATGGTTCAATTATATTTTTTTATAATTTTAAAATTATTTTTATTACAAAATATTTTTATATTTTAAATTATTTTAATGTATGATATCAAAAATAATTTTTTAAAAATTTTAAAAAATATTACCTTAATACATTTTAATATAAAAATATTTTAAATAACAATTATAACTACGTTTTCAATTCAATGATAAAGAAAAAGCCAGTTGGGGGTAAGAAACCGTAAAAATGATATATTTAAAAGTATAGACTATAGTAGTGCACTAAAATAATATATATATATATATAATTTTTTTTGATAATATTATATTAAAAATATATGAAAACAATCTAGAAATATAAAAAAGGTTTTTGTTAAATTTAAATTTCTACCTCATTTATGACGCAATTACAAACGGGGCGAAATCCAAACCATTCATTCACCGCCTTGAGGTACTTTTGATTTGGACATTTAAGAGCCGCGGCAAACAGTATACAATAAACAAAAAGAATAAAAAAAAGAATTGCTCTCCTTGTTTCCCATTTTATTATAATTTATTCATCTGATTTAGTTTTTAGTTTCCATGTTAAAATCAAGTAAAATGATTCACAGTTATCTGCTTCGTTAGTTCTCTGTCTAGCTTGTAGTTTCCTCTATTACACTCGACATAAACCCTATCTACCTACCTATCAGCCCCGTCTTGTTTCTTTTTATCTGCCTTTCCATTTCCTTAATCAGGTTAGTACTTTGTCTTGTCTTGTGATTTGATTTGATTTAATGTTTGATGATTTTCTGTGATTTCTGGTTTTGTTTTAAATTAAATCATGCTATATTATGCTCAAATCTTATTATTGGTGTCGGCTAGAATAGACACAAATTAATTAAGAGATTTGTGTTTGCATTAAACTGGTAATGATGATCTTCAATTATGGAAATGATTTTGAGTTATTTGCAAAGATGGATGGATATTTTGGTGCTGTTTATACTTGAATTATGATGGGTCAAGGTTGATGTAACCATTCGGGTTTTGAGCAGGGGGAGGAGATTGTTTTGGTAAGAAAGATGGTTATTCATGAGCAAGAGTCGGATGTTATTCAATGGGGTCTTCGTCTTCTTGACGGGGACCCACCCTTTTATTCTGGGTACTATGGTGAAGCAATAGTACAGAGTGATGATGGATACCATGGGCATTATGTGAGGGATCATTATGATATTACGGACTGTAGCCATGTAGAGAATGATGAGATGATTGCACGTACGTTGCAAGAAGAGTTTTCGCAGCTTGCAGTTACTGAAGAAAATGGGTATTCACATGGTGGAGAAGAGCTTTCAGTTACTGAAGAAAATGTGTATTCACATGGTGGAGAAGGTGGAGAGCATTTGCAGACTTCTGTTGATGAGCATGAGTGGCATTGTACACCGATGGGGAACTACCGTTCAGGTTTATGGTTAAGATTATCCTTTTGTTTTGTTTCATTTTTTGTGGGAGGGAATTTCTTATGTTGGTTTCACTTGATGTTTTTAATGCGCAGACAATGAGCGTAGTCATGAAGAATCAGATGATGCAGTACCCTCTAGTTCATGCTCAAGTCCTGCTAATGGAGAAGAGTATTCCTATTCACCAGAGTTTACTGATGAAGATGGCCTGGATGATGAAGTAGGCAAGAGGTTGAATCAGTTGATTCCAATCCGTGTAAGTTTGGCCGCTTTAGATCATCATTGTGGTCTTTTATTTCTTCTGGTTGAGGAAATTGAGAGACTTTGGTCATGTTTGACTTCCCCTAGGAATCAGGAAAAGCATTTCAAATAAAATTTATGTTTAACTTTATTTAAACAATTTTACTTGTCTTAGAGTTTTTATACTACCAAATGACAAATAAAGGAAGTAATTTTTTCCACTAAATATAGAATATCTCATTTCTTGTATAATCTTAATCCTTATTATTGGCAAACCAAACTGCATTTCACAAGAAAAGGTACAAGATACTAATTTTTATTTCCAATCCCAAGCGACCCGAACATAATCATCACATAGTCATTTATAGCTTTTCCTCTCTCTTTTATTACATTTTTTTTCCTTTTCCTTTTCACCAATCACTATCTTTAATATCTAGGTGATTGCATTAAAGTAGCTAGTACTAAGGGGCTGTTTGGGAACACGGTTGAACCTGCGTTCCCAAAAATTTCAAATTTTTTTTATTATTTATTTTTGCTAAAATTCAATATGTTTTGTACGTTTTGGATCGTTTTGATGTGCTGATGTTAAAAATAATTTTTTAAAAATAAAAAATAATTGACATGCATTTCGGCATAAAAAGTTATTTGAAAAGCAACCACTACCACATTGTCACACACACTTTTAATCCTGGAAAAGTATCCAAGGTATTCTGAGCCATGAATTTAAGTACAGATGGCACACAGAGTCAGGGTGCGTCTTTTTTTCTGCTCCTGGAGTCTCTCTTCTCTAATGGCACTGCATCTATAATTTTACTAATGCTTTTTGACAGGGATTTTGAAACTTGCACTTCCAAGTTCAGGATAATTGAGTGTTTGACCAGTTCAATGTTTCCATCACTGAGCCAGACAAAATAGTGTATACTTTATGAACTATCATTGGATAAACTGCCATATTATGGCTAAAGACTGTCAACGTGAGCTGTGGTTCTTTATTGTGAAAAGACAATCAACGCTATCCATGATTCTTTATTGTGAGAGAACATTTGCATGTGTTCAAACACTTTTAAGCATGGTGTAATGTTAGTTTTTTCTTGTGCAACTTATATGGTATATGATTAAGTTCAGTGTAATGTGCATCATAGCAGTTACATGTTAGAATCAATTGGTGCTCATTTGCATCACACGATCTTGTGATTTTGCATCATTTGATACTTCCTGTTGAAAATCTTTATAAATGGTATTTTTCTTGTACAACTAGCTTGGTGAAAATACTGTGCTTGTGTTCTTGCATACATGCTTGCAAGGACATATCATTTCCCCTACTGTTGGTTTTGCTTATCGCCTGCCAAAATTTCTTTCATGCTTCACAGCATGTTCCAAGAATTAATGGAGAAATACCTTCAAGTGATGAAGCAACATCAGATCATGAAAGGCTTCTGAACAGGTATTGTGTACAGATATTATTGCTGCAGATAAAGCAAAATTCTTTTCCTATTTTGTCTGATTGGGAGTTAGTTCAGTTAATGCGTTCTATAGACATGTGATTACTATAACGTTGCTCATTTTCTTCCCCTTTTTTTTTTCTTTTTACCTTGGAATAAACTTCATGCTATTAAATTATTGTTCTCACTAATCCAGACTGCAGTTATTTGGCTTTGAAGAGCTTAAGGTTCAAGGGGATGGAAACTGTCAGGTTAGCTTTTCTTGTCTGTTTCTTTTTGAGTATCTTCACTATGACCTCCTCCATGAGATGTTGGTGTAATTGGATTATTATTAGGGTTTTTCTAAGATTGGCCCTAAAGGTATAGGTCAACAAGCAATAAATGGAAGCTCTTCACTTCCATAATTGAGTAAAATCCCAATCCTTAATTTGTTGATACTAACTATGGATAATGAAACCTTGCACATATTGATATTTGATATTTGTGAGTGCCCTTTGGACCACATGTTGGAAAAGTCCTTGCTGTTATTGTTGCTGCTGTTGAGATTGCTTGTCAAAATGCTTATTGACAAATTAATGATGACATGTTAATATTTACTTTCTAAAACTTTCTCATTCTCCAGTTCCGTGCTTTATCAGATCAAATATATAATACACCTGATCGCCACAAAATAGTAAGACGACAGGTTGTGTATCAGGTTTGTTTTATTCCCCGCCTTATTATTAGTGCTTGAAGTTGAGTTAGTAGAATTGTAACATGTATATCTATATTTCATTGATCTTATAAATTTTTGTTATAATGTTTTGTGATCACCAGCTTAAATCTCACCCAGAGATATACGAGGGATATGTTCCCATGGAGTATGGTGACTATTTGAGGAAGATGTCAAAGTAATAATGGAACTGTTTGCTTATTCTATTTCATAAACTATAAAGAATCTTGCGTGTTGATTCTAATAGACAAATACCCTTTGCATTTGGATGATGCCAGGAGTGGTGAGTGGGGTGATCATGTGACATTGCAGGCAGTTGCGGATGCGGTATGGATCATATCAACTTGTAGTCGTCCCTTTTTTTTTTGGGCTCAAGGACTTGATGTTGTTCTTGAAGGACATTGATTTTGTTTTCTTTGTTCTTAAAACATTTTGCCAATTGCTTCCTTTATTTGACATGGATTGTGACTATACCTTTGGTGAAACCCTGTCCCTCTATTTGCCGGTTTCACCATAGCACTGCTCTATTTTAAAGCTTAATGCATTGTTTCATTTTGAAGACAAATGTAACATTCTGTGCTATCCTCCATGGCGTGTACCCTTGTTTTATTGCAGTATGGTGTGAAAATACTCGTCATGACTTCTTTCAAGGACACATGTTACATAGAGATTCTTCCTGTCAGCCAAAAGCCAAAAGGAGGTAAATTATGTTTGTTTCAGTTGTCCTGAAAAAATTAATTTCCTTTTCCTTTATCTTACCCCTCATCTTCCTTTTTGAGATGTTTCCATGATCATATTTTTTCAAGTTTATAATAAATATTATTGACAATTGGTTGTGGTAATAAATATTGCTTGTTTGATTGCAAGTTTCATAGTTTTATCGATTCCTGATGAAACATAAAAAAATTGAGTGATTGTTTTGTTAAACCTTGATCTGTATGCGATGTTTTCCATTGGTGAATTGCTTTTCCCATACACTACTTTACAGAAGAATATAGGTAAAAACTCTTATCTGATTGCTACAATTGCTTCTCTCTTTCTTTTTGCAGAAGCACCAAATTAGAAACACTGAAAATTATTATAATGTTTCCTGTGCTAATTAATCCATATACAATGTAATTGGTCTTAAATGATTGAAAGAAATTCCGGTCCCATCCCAGATTTCTTTTTCAAACAATAATAAGATAGCATTAATGTTTGTTTTATTGCTTATAAGCTTGTGTTTTGATGAAGAATTTTGGGTTCCTTCTGCAGTCATTTTCTTGAGCTTTTGGGCAGAGGTACACTACAACTCCATCTATTTTCAAGGAGGTAAATATTGTTTATTTTTTTGCTTTTTTTATTGGGCAAAGGCATGAGTTAAAAAGTAAGAACAATGGAATGCTTGGGCAAAGTTGATGATAAACATAACCGAAGTTTACGTGACAATGATCTTGGTTTCATGTGCAAAGTCTAATTTGGTAACTTTGCATCTAATGATACCCCTGTGAGAATAATTTCTCTCTTTTCGTGGTTTTGATACAGATACATCTAGTGAATTCAGAAAGAAGAAAAGGTGGTGGAATTTCGGGAATAAGCACTAGATATATTGCTGGTAATCTGAGGACCCACCCTCTTCTCTTGCTGCTGTGCTTGCTATTATACATATGCACATGCAGCCTCCTCGGTGCGAAACTTGTATCTTCTCCTTCTATAAACCATACTTGTCCAGATCAGTTATTCTACCAGTGTATTGTATTTTTCTGGGAACGATTTTTTTGTCTCAAATTTTGCATGCATGCATGCTTAGAATTGCATGTCATATCTTTCTCAAATAACAGAAAAAAATAATCACATGAGTAACACTGTTTATTCTTTTAATGTATGGAGACAGCGAGATGGATGGATGGAGCTTCAGATAAGTTGTTTGGTTGGGAAATTTCACGTGTATCGAAAGTGTGATTCTTTACCTGATCAAAACTCAGAACTTGCTCATGCATTCAAAATAAGATGTTGTTATTGATTTGATAACGTTTTATTCCCATTGTCATATATGACCATGGATACTTTTAATACTCAAGCTTGACTTGATTGCGACCTCTATTTTGGTTTATTTATCAATCCAGTCGTCCTTTCTTATGATTGTCGCATATTTGTGGGAGAGATGAGGATATGGTTTCACAAGCTCTTATAGAACCACCAATGCCTCTGTTTTATTTATTTATTGGGGGGCTTCTACTGCAGTGGATCACTACAGTTCGTGGATCCAAATGTTTCTATCCGAGGCAAGTAACTAAAACTTGAACCAGGGTTGGTAGCAGAACTTTATCATGTGAAATGTGGGTTTATTTTTGTATTTTAAAAGTATTTTTAAAAAAAAATTAATATTTTTAGTTATTTTAAATTAATATTTTTTAATGTTTATTTTAATATGTTAATGTCAAAAATTATTTTTTAAAAATAAAAAAATATTTTAATATATTTTTAAGATTATTATTATACTTTCAATAATCTCATAGAAAATCTTTAATGTTGACGAAAGTGAATGTCATTGACCAGGGAAAAAAGAGAAGCGTGTTCAATAAAAAACTTGTTACAGGCTAAATTTTTTATAATATAAAAAATAATATTAAAGCATTGTTAGTTTATTTAAAAGGAGAAAAAAAATCCATAACTTGAACATCATGGAAAAAAAATTAATGGTCTGTCAATTCTTGAGAATCTAAACAAAAGAAAGATGAGATCAGAGAAGAAAATCAGTGAATAAAAAGAAGTCTGAAAAACAAAGAACATGTAAATTTAGGTAAGGTAGCCAAAATTCTTGAGCGAAATTATACGAACAAGATATCTCAATAGATGATAATAAAAAATAAAATAAAACAAAAAAATTATTTTTAAAAAGAATCAAATTTTAAAGGTTAAAATTTAAAAAAATAAAAACAAGAGTGATCTAAAAAAAATACCTGGCCTACCTACCCAAACTTATTGTTTAGATAATGAAATAAGGATAACTTGATTGAAAGAAAACCAAAGAAAATAACAAAGTTTATTTTTTAAAATGAACAACTTTGAACAATATAATCAAGAAAAAAATGATGTCAACCAGTGTAAATTTTTTAAACCTGTGATCCAAGCTAGTGACTAAATTGGAAGCGTTTTATTTGAAAAACTATCATTTTAAAACTCGGCTCAACCCAATAAATTGACCCATGACCCGAGAGAATCGGGGTGTAACATCCCTTAATTTTAAAGTAAATTAATCACGTAGTTAGTAACAAAAGCAAGATAAAAACTAAAATATTTTTTCTATAAAAAATCCAGCAGAGTTTCTCCGAAATATTGGTACTAAGTTATCGACAACAACAATAACAACACAAATCCATTATTCACAATTTATTTTATCTTTATGTTACCATGAAGCTTAACCATCCTTGATTCACCGAACACAACAACTCACCGGATAAAATATCTAATCCAAATTTTAGTTACATCAGATTGCATATTGCAATATTTCATTAACCATCAAAAGAAAATTAAATAAACAAATTAATAGAGTAACCAAGTTTAATATACTAACAACTTAATTATAACACTTCTAAACCAAATAAGAAAATCATCCAAAATAATTACAATTTATATCAATTCAACATTAAATTACATATCAAATATTTTATATAAAGGATTATCCCTCTAAAAATGCATTTCTCCTTTTCTTTTCCTTTAACAAAAAAGCCCTAACTAGATACTAATTTGCGTTAGTTCGTGAGGCAACTGAAATTAATTTAGCATATATTAGCATAAATAACTCATGCAATAAATCAAAATCATAAGGATTCATGTAATGATTTTAATAATAAAGCCTAGACTTAGAGAAAAAGAAAAGGAAGGGATATTGACTAATGTATTGCTAGAACAATGCGAAGCTAGCGCCTGAGTAACTTGCACCAACTTTTTTTAATAACTTTTAAAAATAGAAAAAGATTAGTTTTTTCCTAACCCAACTTAATAATAACAAAAATAGTAAGGGGAAATAACAAAAACACTTCTTGGAACATAGTTTAGAAAGTTTGATTTTAGAGGTAATTCAGTCAAATCAATTTTTAAAATAAAGTAAAAAACTGAAAATGCCCCTCAATGCTAATTAAATGAAAATAATTTTTAGAAAAAATTAATAATTTTACTATGTAATAAAAAAATAAGCTGACCATAATATCCTTATGAATTTGACAATGACTTTTGTATTTTAAGGAAAAGACCGAATTACCTTTATAACATCCCTAGTTTTTTAAAACACAAATCAACGTATTTATAGTTATAGATAGATGAGAAAATAGGGAATTTACATACACACATATATTACTAAAATTCCAGTAAAGTTTCCCTTAAAGATGTCAGTTTATCAATAACATAACAAGTATGCTATTCTAATCAATGTATCGATAAGGTCCAACCATCTTGGACTTTACCTGTTCTTATTATAATTCAAGATTAGAATACATCATCCACAATAAGATACAATCATGTCAACTAATATTAACAAATTCATAGAAAGACATTATAAAGTGAATCCATGCATTTCTAAATTTATTATGTAAAAGTAAAGTTCTTAATACTTCATATTTCTAAATTTATTATGTAAAAGTAAACTTCTTAATACTTTATAAGCCTAATGAGTATATACTATTATCTAGATTACATGCATCATTAATTCTAGTATTATTTACACGCCAAAACTAATCCTGAAAAATTACATTACAAAATAAGTTAGCAATTCAAGATTACATCATCATTTTCTAAACAAAATATGTTCTAAGAAAATCTAATACTCCACGCAATGCTACACATGAAATTTATATAACATATGATATAAATAAAACAATATTATTTATTTACCTAAGTCATATAATTTGTTATTTGATTCAAAAATATATTTTCAACAATCAAACTCTATTATATATTTTCTTTTCAACTAATTTTATGGCTCCACTAGATAATTTTATCAAATCAGAAATACTGGTATCGATACTGCTAGTACTATCTAAGTAACCACTCAATCGAATTCTCAATCGTCGAACATATTAATACCATTAGCTACACACAGGGTAACAAGTCAAATAAAAATCATGGTTGTTAAACATATTAATGCCATTAGCCCCACTTAGAGTAACTAGTCAATTACAGATCTTGATCAAAAGACAAATAGACACTACTTATCTAATTAGGGTGACTAGTTAAGGACAAAACTTGGTCGTTAGACAAACTGGTCTATTAATCTCATTTTAGATAACTAGACTTACAAATCCTAGTCATTGTATAAATTGACGCCATTTGTCCTATTCATGGTAACTAGTCAATTTATCATCTTTTCGATACTTATGTCATAATTAATACAAATGCATAACACATTTAAATAAATTATAGTTACATAACATTAAAAATTTAAGCATAATAAATAATAGAGACATAAAACACCTACTTGATATCTATGCTTAAACAAAAATTCCTTCTTGTTGAATGAATCATGTGGTCTTTTTTATACCAGCGATAACAACACGTCACATACAATTCAATTATTATAGAAATCCAATTCAAATTCAAATTCTCATTCCAAGTTTGAGTTTCAAATCAATGGTAAGGAAAACATAAAGTTTTTCATAATTAAATACTTTTCATTAATATATCATTCAATATACTATTTTATTTTATGTAGGCAATATTAAATACATTTTCTTAGCACAATTCAAATTCTTTTTTTATTATTATTTATAAAAGTTGGCTAACATTTTCTTAGCACAATTCAAATTATTATTTTTTTATTATTATTTATAAAAGTTGGCTAAACATTTCTTATAAAATAGATAGGAATTCTAAAATAGGTAGAAATTCTCTTTCCAACAAAATCCATTATCCCTGAATAAACTTATCAATAAACACATTTCAACAAGTTTTCTCACCAATTTGGTCAAACCAATCCATTATTTTTTTATTATACTTTGGCTAAAACTACCATCTAAGAAAACTCATTTTTATTTATTACTTTCGAGCAAATTAGCATATAATTTATAAATTACACAATCTACTTAACATCTTAGAATACAATTTTAATACCAATTAAATCAATTCCATCCATCATTCCCTTTACTTTTCCATGGCCAAACCTACACAAAGTAGACAAGAAAACTTTTTCAAGTTTCTTAAAATTCTACACATCACCCAATCATTAAATGATCAATCACGCTCATCACCTTTTGAATTCCATATCAATTAAAACAAGAATTCATCTCTTCAATTTTTAAGTCTTGGCCTAAGTCTTGGCCTAACCATCACCTTTTGAATTCCATATCAATTAAAACAAGAATTCATCTCTTCAATTTTTTTAAGTCTTCAATTTTTTTAAGTCTTGGCCTAACCTATTATTGAAAAAAGAATTTATCATTTCGTTCAAATTCATCACAATTAACACTTCATTCATATTTTATCCCTTACTTTTAGCATATCTAAACAAAAAAAGAATTTATGATTTCGTTCAAATTCATCACAATTAACACTTCATTCATATTTTATCCCTTACTTTTAGCATATCTAAACATAATTCAACCATGAATTAAATAAAAAACCCCATCCTTTTTTACTTAGCATTTAGCCAAAACTTCCTTCTTTAAGAAATGCATATGTTTTTTTTTCAATTAATATATTACTTATTTATTTAATATCTAACTAACACAATTCAACATAAATTAAAGGTCAATTTAATAAATCAATTCAAACTACTTACACAACCCTTTTAATCAAACAAGTGTATAATGCGAGGACACCAAAATTCTTGAAATTCTCCACAATCCAACCATTATCCAATTATTTTGTACCTGTTCTAACACAAT